GGGGGGATGAGCGCGACGCGGAGGGTGCCGCCGGGTGTACATTCCTTCGGTGTATTACCGGACCCGGTACACCGGAGCCAGCTGGCAAAGCGTATACACCCGCGTCGCGCGCGATCGCATGCTCACCCATATGCTGGACCGGACAACAACGATTCCCTCTCCCCCCTTCCCGACGACGCCGCCGCACCGCGCTGGTACTTCGCGGCGCGCATTCCCCCGTTAGTTGCATCAAAATACGTACGTGACGTAACACGTGTATATGCGCGCGTTTACACGCGCGCTCGCGCTCGGCGAGCGGGAGAGGAGCGGCGGATGAAAGTTAACCGGAACGGGAAAGTTGGCACTGTACGCAATGGCGCGAGCCGACGGTACCAGAGAGCGAGAAACCAACCCCCCTCCCGCACTGGATCGCAGGCAACGTCGAGGGTTCCAAACAACCGTCTGCTGGGGATAGACCGGCCGAAACGATTACTTATACAGCTCGGTGCGCCGCGGTGCCTGCAAATTGCACCGCACGTAGCACGTCGTTCGAAAGTTACGGAGCGCGGCGCCGTAAGGGTGTGCAAGCGGGTCAAGGGATAGTGTATATTACCCCTTGAATTTGTCAAGAGTGCTTACATGCACACAGTGACGGTTTTAGGTGTATTGACGTTAGCTTTATTGAACAGGACTTTCCAATGCCTTTTTTCGCATCTCTTTTTAATTCAAGTTTTATTCCAAGAAGTAAAATGTGACAAGTTTATATATATATATATATATATATATATATATGTATATAATATTATATATTTATATAAATATATCTATAATATATAGGTAATAATAATTATTATATACATATATAATATTTATATATAAATTAGGTATAATATGTAAACATATAGAAATTGAATAAGAAAATAATTGTAAAAATACATTTAAATTAATCCAACTGGAAGGTAAAATAAAAATATTTCTTGCATAAAAAAATTGAAAAATTAATGTTAATTAATAGACGATAATTATTATGATTAATTAAATTGCAGTATTTTTTTATGCATAAATTCATAATACATGTGCGTAAGGATAAATGCTTGATTACAGATATTGCAACGCAATGCGATGTCGTGTTAACGGCGTTGTATATGATACAGCGAGGTATAACAGATTAGTGGTCGGACGTCCGTATCGGGACGTGGTTATGCCTGTCACAAGCCAGTGCGACCAATTATAGCGCAACATCTCGTGCTCTCCATCAGAATGTAACTATGTAACGTTTCCAGTTGCGCATGTACACCGCGATTGTGCAAGAAAGTTAGCCCGAGAGTTTCGGGATCAATTCCGCGTACCTATAAGCAAAATAGCAGGGGAATCGGAAATTGATGGTAAAGGGACAAATCTCGTACTCGTCCACTTTAGGCGAAATAGAATTTCGCGCTGCTAAAAGTACTTTACCCTCTCTGTATATCTCGCACACGATATACGAATATTCGTTCGAGAATAGAACAACGACAAGTCATCTCGAGAACGAGATCTCGTGCACCTTCGCAATTTGAATCTTCGTCGTGTGTGCATAAAAATGAGATCGCGTTGTAGCTCCGTCGACCATTGGATTGCCGGATATATAGCCGTACATTGCGGTGCACTTTGTACACTTCGGAATATGAAATCAGTATATTAATAGACGAGACACGATAGCCGCATAGCGTGTGATTACGGGTAAAAAGAAACAAGGGTATATTACGACACCGACGAACGTTTAACGACACGTCACGCACGATCGCTTACCTGTATAATAATTTACATTGAATTTATGCTTGTACCTTACGTTCCCCATTTCTTCCTTGGAATGTCAAATATTAATTTTTTTAAATGAAATCCGACATTAACTTGAAATTTAATGTTTAACTTTTCACAATATAATTTTTATTACTAACGATTGTAAAAGTATATTTATATATAAAATCTTAAAAATGTAGGTTGAATCAGCTTATTGTAAGAAAGAAATCTAATAAAATGCGCTGCGACAACTTTCCTCCGGGAGGTCCTGACGTTCCGAATTCGAGTTAACAGCGGCAACTCGCGTTTTCCCGAGGATCGTATATGGTTCTTTAGAACTATACGTTCTAATTTTCAAGATGTCCGAAGTTTATGGCGCAGACGCGCCATCGGCCTCGCGTAAAGTTTAAGCATCGCCGCCGGGGAGCGTTACAAAAATGCGCGACTATTTAATGCGTATAAATTTACTATAGCGCGCGCACAGCGGCAAGAAGTTCCGGCGGCGGAAAGTGGAGTCTGTTTGTGCGCGGCATTTCCGAAACTACCGTGAAAGTTTTGAGCTGACGTATATAGGAGATGGAAGGGAATAGGGAGAAGGGGGGGGAAAAGGCAGTTCTCGTGCAATGGTACGGCATACGATGTTGGGCTGTAGCTGCAGCTCCGCGGCGCTTCGTCGTAAATTCCTACAAATGCTGTAACAGGTCGGCGGCGCTACGACCGACGCCCCGACGCTCGTTCGTCGTTATTACGGCGCTGTACGTCGTTATGAATTTTATGATCCTACGCTATAAGTAACGCCGGAATTTATAATACGCGACGCTTTGAAAAGACGCCGCGACCTTCGCGAAATTCGCCCACGCAATTGCCATATGTGTATATAGGGTAAGGTGGTAACAATTTTTGAGCTCTTAACATACATTTTTATTTTTGAAACACGGTATGCAATCAAACATTTAAAATTTAGTGTAACCAGAAAGCTTGTAATCTGAATAAAAGGAATATGAAAAGAAAATTGTTACTGATGTGATCAAAGTTGTAATTTCTTTTATTTCAGAAAATTGTTCGAAAATGTACCGCAGCAAGTATAATACAATTCTGAACATGGCATGGTACAATTTGGATTATTGATAGGTCTTACGAAGGTTTTTTTAGCCTTTTTAGCGTCTACACTTTGAGATATCTAGTATCTATCTATATAGCATCGTATCTACAAGTCAACTTTCGACGTGGAAATTCTGCAATAATTCAATGAATAGAAATCATACTCATCTTTATTTGTTGATATTAGCATTGTTTGTTAAGTTTTATTTTTTCTAATTTTTTTCTAACATTTTTTTTCATTTTTGAGTTCTTTGGCAATAAATCCTACATTCCTTCAAACGGTTCTCATCAAGATTTTCTTATTTCAAAATTTATTTAAAAATTGTATTTTGTTCAGATTTTACATATTGAATTGTACCATATTCAAAACTGTACTTATCTTACTCTACAGCTGAAACTTTTGGATTGTATAGCAAACTGTTAACAAAAAGATTGCGCGTACTCGTGCCATTCGAAATTAATGAGACGTTTCGTCCATTTAAGCCGCCAGGCTCTCTACAGCCTTACAAAACGAAACAGAGCACGCGTTATT